ACAGATGAAATGTTATTCTCATATAATCTTTTTGATCCGTATATTTCTTTGTAAAATTAAAAATCATGTTTTTGTGCTTTATGCGAAGTACCGCTGCGATTGCGGGCTCATATGTCCGGATTTTCTGTCCATGAGTCTTTACATCCACCTCCATTTACACTCGATCAATCCAGGCCAAGATACCTGCACTATACCTTAACACACTAACAGCCCAAGCATTGATTGCCTTGATCAAATTACCGTCATACAACTTGGATTTTGCCACAAGCTTAATTCACCCTCCTCAAGTATTCATCTCTCACCTTCTTCTTCATTTCTTTCTGCATAATATCAGCCCCTTCCAACACACTCAAGTACTTATACCCACTCTCATCCATCTCACTCATTTCCTGACCATCAGACAGTAGAAGTCCTTCACAGTGCACGTTGCTTCCTTGTTTCAAGATCAACACAACACACTCATCCAAACCAAACTCCATCCCAATATCCCTCGAAAACACATGAACTACGTCAACCAACTTCTCCAGTTCATCCTCCGACCTACCATACGACTTCAAATCATCCATGAACAGTAGATAATTAATCAAACACACCTGTAGCCAATGGTCTTCTCTCTCTTTAACAACATGGTAAGGGGAACCATAGCGAGGACAAAAAGCAAAGGAGACAACGAATCTCCCAGGAAAATTCCACGCTTGATGTCCACTTCATCCAACACCTCTCCATTTGACGTTAACACAGTTCTTCATTCAATCTTGCATACTAGCATATAGCAGTCCCTTCACATTATCAGCTACCTTGGCCATCTTCAGCATCTCCACAATCCATGAATGTGGCACCATGTCATACGCCTTCCGATAATAAATCCAACCCATTTTTAAAGTTAACGCTACATACAATGAATTGTTATTAAACGAATTCGGACTAGGAATCAAAGTTAACAATCATTACCTGGCGGAATGACCTGTACAAGCAAGTGACTTTTACCCTTTTCTTAATTCTGTTTAATTCACCAGATTCTATACATCATGTACGTTTTRCAAGACATTAATCTGCAATCCATATTCTGTTGCGAAGTATATCGCTTTATCGAAAGTAAAGGAACGCAGTCTCTTGATGGTCACGTGATGAAGACCGTAACCAAGCCCCKTAAGAATCTSTGCTGGGGTGATTGCGTTTGGTTGCCATGGTGCTTCTCGATAAATGTTCGCCAAACAAATGAAGGAATGTYTGTATGCGAGTTGAATAACTCAAGTAAAAAAGCTAATCCAAACAAGATTGTGAAGAGAGAAGGATGGTCCTATCATGAAATGGCGGTATGAATGCAATACGAATATACGAGACCTTAGTAAGCACAAAGTCAATATTTGAATCTTGTTTATAGAACGTTGGCGCTCACAATTGCAATTTCAATGAATGCAAGAGAAAAGAAGGTAACTAAAGCATATTTTATTGATTTTTCACCTTAAACGTTATGAGATCCTATAAAATGTAGATAGAAATACTCATTTCATCTGCCTCTTATAGAGAACATTGAGCACATGAGTCGTTCCGTTAGGTTTAAGTAAAGCTAACCTGAGTATAAGGACTTTGAGTGGGTATGGAGAGAAGGGATGGTAAAAWCATAGGCGTTTCCCCATTTCTCTCATTTTTTTTTTTTTTATCCAACAAAGCTTGTTAGTCRTGCAGGTTAAGTAAAAAATATAACCGACGAGATTTCGAATTAATTCAGGTCCARAGATATCAACCACCAGAAGATAGGGCAGTCGCTAAAAAAAGAATAGGAAAAAGTAAACTGACATTATATAATTTTAAATCATTTTTTGCTTKTTCAAATGTTGCAATTACTGGATAAGATGGGAKTGGAAGTGTGTGTTTGGAGGGSTGGGCTGTTTASATTTCAACTTGATGCTTCTTAGTCAATAAAGGCTTGTTCTAGAGAAATAGCATAATTTAATATTATGGGATGCCTTTTATGACCATTGATATTGGTATTCATAACATGATTATTCAGCAGGAGCCAGCGGCGTCTGTTCTTCTAAATAACTGCTATGCACGAATTATTTCCAGGAAAAGGGATTTTGAGCTAGATTGCTGACAATTTCACAAGCAAATTTGGCGCCCTTCATTCTTTAAAATAATTTTGTTCCTGGCAAAAGTTTTTATGGTCATGAGCGGCTTTTTTAGTTTCCTGGTAAAAAGTTCTTAGAAAGTGTTCCCTGCTTGGAGAGTTCTTTTTTTCCTGAATTTCTCGCTGRCAACCAGTTGTGACTTACAGCTGGCCGGTACGTAAGAACAGATATATTTCTCCCAGGAATCCGTTGGCTCCTCCTAACTATCAGTGCATAGAAATCAATAATTAATGACTAGGACTGTGATAGATCTGGGCAATGGATGGCRTCGCTATGAAGACGCTGCTATCAAGCTATTTACAGAGAAGAAAAACTGGACCGATGCTCGTCACCATTGTCAGTCGTTAGGTGGTGATCTTCTCTCCATTACCAGCTCACACGAAAACGACTTTGTCAACGAAGTCTTTGTGAAGCAAATGAATTTATCATACTTCAGAGAAGGTAAAAAAAAGCAATATAGAATGAACAGAGTTACATGCATACGAAAATCAGTTTACACATTTATGTTATGACATTCTCGCAAGACCAACAACTCATGCAGCAACGGAGTTAAAAGATAGATCTCAGTGTAAAACTCCGCCGGTTTCGAATTCAAAACGAAACTCCGTTGCTTTATTTGACAATACATTGTCTTGCGTATAGACATGTCCAAACACAAAAGAAAGCACGAGAAAATTTCGTTAATACAATACCCTTGGAAATTTACATTTTCCCAAAGTTGAGAGTAACCCTGTATTCTCATAAGACACAAAGCCTTCTGGGTATGCAGGGTTAGTCTCAACTACATGAAAATGTAAATTGTTAGCGCTATTGTACTACCAACATCTCGTGCTTTCTTTTGGGTTTGTAAGGTCTTAGCATAAGAGAATCTGCTGTCGAAAAAAAAGTGATTATTCGCTTTCAATTCAAAAATGGAGTATTAAACTRTATTKCAAAAATTTTATTGAAACTGAAAAGYTATGACCGATTTTCTTGTCCAACACGCGGAGTTTACAAGTATTTTTAGTAAGTACAGTCGGGTAGGTAAGGATTCACTTAATTATAAAATTTTGAGGAACTTTCAGTTATCAAGAACAACTGACACACAGTAAAATACCTAGAATTTCACCTGTTATATTGCTCTTATTTTTCAACAACAAAACCTTTGAAGCAAATGCCCTATGTGCTTATAATAGCTTACCGCAGTGGTCGCTATCGCAGAGAAAAATTTGCTGTTGAATTATAAGCACTGATACACCACACAAATGTCAAAAATTGTAACCCGTTACAACGGTTTGCCTTAACCCACTAGAACGGGTTCAGAAAGCAAAAAATCCTTACTATACTAGGTCACCAACTGGTTACAGCGGTTTCGCCAACCCGTTACAACCGAACCCGTTACAACCGATTCAGAATCAACCCGCTAGAACGGGT